AACTTCATATATTTTACTATTTTGCCCTTAGCCCTTACATTTTCAATAAATACTAATAAAAATATACTAGCATCAATTTATAGAAATTTAATATGGATTATTAAAATGGCTAACTAGTTTTATTCCTATTAGTATTAAAATTGACCGCAAAACTAAAAAAGAAATAACTTTATTAATATTAAAAAGTTCCTTTAAGGGTATACGAGACACACTCTCACTCCAGTATACTTACTGTAGAGAATGTAAATACCTCAAGACATATGGCATCGGCAAGCCTCTATGTCGCGTATAATGCTGAAATTACTTATTATAGTTTATACCTTTTGCTTAGTATATTGGTCTCGTTTGAGAGATTTCAATACGTTATTTTTTACTATACTAGTTTAGACTCATAATATTAATGAGGTAATAGTAACTCAAATTTATATTATTTTATTTATTTAGTGTAGTGTTTTTTAGTATTTATGTCACTTTTCACATTTATCTTATGCCCAATACACTTTCATAATACTATTAGCAGACACAGTGTATAGCATATAGTATTAATACGTGGAATTATAGTGTGAAATCATTATAGGTGTGAAGATGATTCCATGATGTTTGTTATCCGAGAGTTATTTTGTCAATGAGAGGAAGCTAAATGAAATTGTGAATAGAGTATGATATTTCAGTATTAGAATGGTATATATGCTTATATATATATGCATAAATAAATGTCGACTTGTTTTTTTACTCATAAGGTAGATATATTCAGGTAAAAATTAGTAGAGGGCGTCACACTAGTGATAATAATATATATAAGTCATTGTTAGCCTTAAATATACACACAAACAGTTATAAAGGTCATTATTAATATCTGAACTGAACTACTATATAATTATAAATACCCTCGGCACCTAATACGCCCCGCAACAAGCGACATATAACCGTGATTGCAAAGTCATAACCTATATCGTATGCTCGTGTGTGGATAACGATCCCAGAATAATCTCCTCATGCAAATTGTTGTTCGACCATTAGCATAAATCCTCACTCTCAATAGAAGACTATGCTGAGACCCACAGTTTAGTAGGTAAATCTGTCCATTTCGTTATATACCAATGTGATATAGAACTCTCTAGCTTCATGATTGGATGGTGTGTGGAAGAGATTTTGTTTTCCAGTCTATTTCTGTAGCTACCAAAAAAACTTTATGAGATAGTCACAGAGCATTTGAGCTGCCTTATGGTCCTATGCTATACAGTTACTATTATTGTTAGATTAATTGTCTACTATAATATATATATGTATGTGATTAAACTTTATTGATATCTGACATAGTATGTAGACATGATACTTACTTGCAATAGTGAGCTAAGAATTTCTATGTGGATTGCCTTTGTGGTGGGATATATTCAAGAGGTAAGGAAAATTAGTAATAAAGTAATATTTCCTAATACACACTTAGAAATGATGGAAATATAAGCTAATATATATCATTATAGACTTGTGAGTCAAAGGCAAAGATCTTAACCACCATAATAGATACGGTAGAAAAAATAAATTTATTTATAGTTAAGTCGCTATTGAGTACCCATACTTATATTCTCTACCAAAAGATAGTCTTTTCTGATCTTTGCTATACCTAACAAAAAAACAATCTATACCTGTCAATGGTATTAGCCAAGTTTAACCTGTCAGTGAATATTGATTGTGCGATATCATGACCAGACCAGTCTATTTTTATACATTATCATGAATGCATACATATCTTGATAGCTCAAAAGTTATTCTATTAATGTTATTACTTTTTAATATGATTATGTAAATTATTTTAACTAAGCATATATTCCTATAGAATAAAGAAGTTTAACCACATTGTCTTCTCTATTTGAAAATCATACTAAGTCACTCATGTTGAAATGTGACACACATAATAACTCAGTACTCATGTCACCTAGATGCAATATTTTCAGCTTTACTATATACCACTTGATGGTTAAGTAATAATTTCCAAAACACCTTCATCCCAATCATTTTAGTCCACAACTTTTTGACTGCTCTCACACCTCCTCACATATAATAGATGAAAATAATGTTAGATTCAAGAGGGCGGTATATTTTAATATTTGTTAGAGAGTCCACTACTTGGCTATTATGGAGATATAAAATGCATTTATCTCTAGCTTGGGATTTTTTGTTATTGTGCATTAAACAATAAAACTCCATTGTTTAGATAAAAGCTTGACATGCTACTACTGAATGATAGTATGATAAGAGATAAATTCCTATATTGTGATTTTGTCACTGACAACAGTATTCTCTATAAAATATGATGCCTCCATTTGATTATGAAGTTTTACATTTTATATATATATATAGATAGTAGATAGATAGATAGAGTAGTCATTTTATTCGGCAGTTTAATATGTTAGAAGAATAAAATTAAGACATATTTCTCATGCACTTATTTTAGTATGTATGACATAATGATATATCTCAAGTTACATGTCAGATACTCAGTTTATAAATTTTAACCTACAAATTATATTCCACAAACATAACACTTAGATGATATCATATTTATGGCAAACTATCCTTGAAGTTACCTATAGGTATATGATTGGCTGAGTAATAATGTAGAACACTTGAGTATTTTCACCTACAAAAATTATGATTATTAATTATGATTTCAACATAACTATATTCTCACTATACTATGAATAGATACTGATGACCAGATCATCAGTTTCATTTCACCTATATATATATTAATTACTAGTCTACCCCTAAGTATAAATATACCTTTACATATATAATTGTGATATCATTACTTCAGAATATAACATATAACGTTAATCGACTGTGAATAATCAATAAATTAATCTAAGACAGTCTTTGTGTCTCAAAGCAAGTAATGTTAGTTATTACTATCTCATGCTCATGATAATATATATAGATTGATATATTTTACTACACATGGTTAAACTTGCTAGTGTAGTGTCTCCTATTCATCATAATATGGTATTAGGACATTTTATATTGTATTAAGATGTCTCAGTTGTTAGTAAAAGGTTCACAAAAGGAATTATTTAAGTTTGAAATGTAATAAATTTAATCCTCAGTTATTTTATTATACCATATGTTCCTGTCTCATAAATTATATAAATTTTGGTTCGTTTTGTTATTGAAAATAGTAAATTATTTCCTCAGTTTCCTTTAGCCTTAAAATTATACATATTTCTGACCTAGTTGTTTTATTTTGTAAATTTTCATAAAAAACCAACTATATAGTATATAGATAGATAGATAAGGACTAGATAGATAGATAGATAGATAGATAGATAGAATAGATAGCATAGATAGCATAGATAGATAGATAGAATAGATAGATGATAGATAGATATATATAAGTTACATATATATATAAATAAATTATTTATGCACATATATATATATATTATATATATATATATATATATGCCATAAATAAATTTATTTATATATATATGTACTGTATATCCTATCTATCTATCTATCTATTTATCTATCTATCTATTCTATCTATCTATCTATCTATCTATCTTATCCTATCTATTCTATCTATCATCATATATATATATCCTATATATATATGATAGATGTATAATATATATATTACTATATATTATATGATATATTAATATATATATATATGTATTTATATATATATATTTACATGTGAGTTATATATATATGTATTTATATATATATATACATATACTATATATATATATATAGTTAGATATATATATACTATATTAATATATAATATATGTATTTATATATTAATATACATTAGTATATATTATATATATATATATGTATTTACTATATATGCTATACAATATATATATATATAGTGAGTATATATATATTATATAATATATATATATTATAGATATATAAAATATAATATATATATATATGCTATATATACGTATATATATTATTATATATATTTATATATATATAAATATATTATATAATATTATGTATATAAAATATATATACATATCATATATAAATATATATATATATACTATAGATATATTATACTATATATATATATTTAAGTTATATATATATAGATAGATAGATAAATTTATTTTATGCATGTATATATATAGTATATTATTATTATATATATATTATATATATATATAATATATACACGTAAGTTATATATATATATATATATATTTATATATATATATATATATTTAATATATATATTGATGTATATATATAAAATTCATTATTTTATGCATATATATATATATTATATACTATATATATATAGTATATATAGGTAAATAAATATAGGATTTATTTATTTATGCATATATATATATATATATTATGATATGTATTATATATATATATATATATATATATATATATATATATAATACTATATAATGTATACTTATATAATGTATATATCATGTAGTATTATATATATATATATATTATTATATATAATGTATATTATATATATAATGTATAATTATTACATGTATTGACAATTCATAGAAAATATCAATGAAATAATATAGGATAATTTGTATTGCACATAGAAGTTCACATTATTTATTCCTTGTTCAAGATTTTTATATATAAGATAATAGTGCATTCCACATGTTAGGATATATATTTAGTTATTATTAGTTTCATATATATATTTATAATACTTTAGATTTCTTTCATTATTTATTACTCACCCAGATTGGTAAATTAGAGTAGAGGTTTTGTTCACAGACATTTTATATATGTGTTGATTGCATATCAAATCGTACTCATTCTCATTGTAAAAGGGGAAATTGAGTATTTTAAAAAGGTTTGATATATATGGATGTGTAAGAATATATTTGTATTGAATTTGTATTATAGGCATGTTATTGGTTTATTGAAATAGTTAACTGGATTATAGAGTGATTGAAATTGAGTGAAGATAATGATGAAGAGTAGTTTTTATTTGATTGAGACTGAGGACGAATATCTATTTCCAGGAAAAACGAGGAGACAGAGAGGTGGAGCAACTCTTCCGATCTCTTGAACTAATAACAGAGATAAAGGAGGGGCAGGTACGATTATCTTTAGAAAGAATATTAATGAAATAGATATTATTAATGTTTTTGAATGTATTCAGCCATGAGTATGGTGATTTGACCATTTTCAGTTTTGCTGTTTTAGGTTTATGATGTGTTGTAATCTTTACAGATTGAGAAGATAGTCAACTCCTCAGATGACAATCTCCCACGCACAATTGCAGACATTCAAGTGGCTCTCCACATGTTAGAAGATACCATTGACACTGAGAAGAAATTTAACTCGGTAAGAACTTCCCTCTTTCAAGAGAGGATTCTTTGTTAATGATGATAAGGGGAAAATCCCAGTGAACAAAAAATAGAGACAGTTTTTATCAGATTTTTCTGTAGGTTTAGTAATGTGGCAAGGTTACTTTGATTAATGATTTCAAAATGTAATGCAGATGAGTTTTAGGGTATGCAGTGTGTATGTGTGCTTATAAAAACAATAATGAAATTTTTTTATTAAACATTTTAATTCCTTAGGAGGAGCTTCTGGCAAAAAAGAGAGCAGAGAGGAAAAGCAAGCTCACAGCAACTCAGCAGGAGGTACAAGAGAAACTCAACTTCCTTGAAAACAACTACCTGGAGAAGGAACAGGCTCTGAGAGCACAGTTTGAGACTCTTGAGAAAAGTGCAGGATTCTAATTCGTCAAAGAAACTTATTTTTGTAGCTGTCACAAGTCTTGGTTAACATGACCAAAATGGAGGATCATGTGCTCATTATACCCTCTAAACGGTTCGTCCAAATTCTGCAAGAGTTAAGAGATGCATTTGGGAGCCCACACAGAGAGCATCCAGCAGAAGATCCCAGCAGGTGAAGGCATAGCAGGAAAAGAGCATCAAGCTGACAACACAGGAGATCAAGTGGTCAGTCACGAGAAGAATGCGAGAAAGGGGCATCCCAGAAGCGTGTCCATGTGAATTACTAGCAGAGAGCGAAGATATCATTTTACCCAAGTATGAACCACCCCACAAGGAGCCCAGAATCTTGAAGCCAGCAGATCCATAAGGACTGCGTGTTGCGAGCAAGAGAACCGTGTAACTACAACAGACATGGTCAAAAGTGTGGATAATGTCTACCAGGGAGATGGAACACAGCTTGGAGAGATTGGGAAAGAGATGCGGATTGTTAATAGGCAGATCATATCAGGGCTTCAGTACCCTCTTGTTCTGTGATTGTGCACTTTCTCTTTGCTGTCTTTATTATCGCTATTGGGGTATGGCCACCCCGGACTACGGAGTGAGGGGCTCTGGTAGCTACAACTGGCTGCATTGGTGGTTGGCTTGGCAGAAATGTATTTCATTATCAGGGAAGATTTAAAGGAAGAAAAAAAACAGGACAAAGTGAAATAGTATATATAAAAAAGCTGTGCCAAAAAGAGTGATAATTTTGTTTTATTTTCTTTTTTTTTTTCTTTTGTTTTTTGTTTTGTTTTGAAGAAGTTATTCTTATATTACTTTCTTGTGGCAGTGCAATATAATTTTGTTGTTTGTATGTTTTGTGTTATAGACATTTTCCCTTTGCTTATTTGAGAACCTCTATATAAATGATTGTTTTCTAAGATACCAAATACTGTCCTTCAAATGATTATTTGTTGAAGAAAAACATAAGGCGCATTTCTGTGTGGATTACATTGAAAAACTATTTAGCATTAGGTAAATAATTGCACTAAATAAATATCAAAATTAATGCTGGAAAATATCAAAATTAATTCTGGATAGTAATAGAAACTCATAAGGACAAGCTAACCCAGTGTTAGATAAAAGTTGCTCATATTCCTGTGCATTATCAAAGGATTTTTCTATAATAAAGTGAAATATTATTTATTATACTTAAAACGGCATTTAATCTTGCCATTTGATACCTTTTTCTTAGATATGTTTGCATTAATTTGTATTCTTTATTGCACAACTAAATATCATGTTATAAGTTTTTTGCTCACGTGGAAGGTTATGGCTCTCAATATTGCAGTTAATGTTATTATTCATTGGTGATACAGTTTGTAGGTAAGATTTGGCTAATTTAGCGTGTATTCTGACTATATTTTTATACTAGTTATTTTGCTAAGGTTGCAGTTGAATATGTGATGTTAACATTCCATTTTCTATGATTTGTTTTAATATGTATATTATATGACTGTATACTAAATATCTATATATATACTATAACTTATATTATACTATTTTATTAGTGATATTATTTGATCTAGTTGTTTTAGTATTGTCACGTAGTTCTTTGTTATAGCTAGTATCTCATGAATTGTGTTATACTACTCCCTATTAATTTCACGGGTATCAGCATCTATTAATAGTATAATATATATATATTTGTACATTTGTTTATTTAAACAATAGGAGATTATGTAATAGTTGTAAATATATTGACCTCAATTCTATAGTATAACAATATTATATAAGAGTTTGAAAAATTTTAAGTAGGACCATACATCTTTTTTTTTTTAGATCTAATGATTTACTTAACTCACTTAGTGGTTTTGCAGTATAAATATTCCTGTGGTTATTATGTATATTATAAATACTGCCAAGTCCTATGTCACTCACGTAAGGTTAAGTATCTCCAACCTAAGAAATCAGTAATATATATAATTATTTTGTGTGCTGTTATCATATTGACATGATCTTAATTATTTATTTCATTTACTCAACATAGAATTATAGAAAAAATATTCAATTTATGTGATTATATAGGTGTAATAGTTGTGATACATTTTGTATATTAAATATATTTTCATAGTCTCAGTATAATGTTGCATAATCTATAGATAACAATCACAAGAAAATATGTATATATAGGTGGAGATATCAGAGGTGTTTAATGTGATATGTTAAGTAAGCACCAAGTTTATGAGAAAATAGTATCTAAAAATACATTGATTAACCACTTACTGTACAAAATTAATGAGTGAGTTTTTAGATTAATCTAATTTCATTAATTTATATGAATGTATCAATTTTATAATTACCATTTATTTACTTTAATTTTTATACTGTATTATTACCTCTTACCATTTCCTTTGCAAAATAGAGGCCTCACTATTAAATTGAGTGGGTCTATTTACTATATATAATATTTATATATACATAATTAGTATTACTATATAGATAGTATATATAGGGTACTTGTTAGATGTGAAGTTGATTATGAGCAAGTGAGGGAAAGTGGGGAACATAGATGAGCATCTATAAAATTTCTTTCGTTCAACCTCACTAGACTAGCCCATACCTCAGCCACAATATAATTGAATGTGAAAATAAAATGCAGGAAACAGATAGTCCATCATGAATGGAGTGTGGATAGGAAGGGTAGTAGTTTATGCAATTATGAATAGAGTTAAGCACTGAGAATATATAAGAATAACAATATTCAAATACACTCAATATATGACATATATTCAGCGTTTATATATATAAATACAAATTAATAAAATGGTTTAATATTCATTAATCATGCTATATATGTTCTACCATGAAATAGGCCTTTCCTTTATTTCTTATTAATTAATAGGTAGATATTAAAAAACTGAACTATATATATAATGTATTAATCTCATAATATGTAAAAGTGTGCTAATATATATAATAGAAAACTCGATTTTTTATTGATATTATTACTAATATTTAAATATATGCTATTCTGCTTTTTCTGTGAGTCAGCTAATTTATATTCTTAATCAATTGAGTACTAGGTCTAATACAAGAAGTGAATAACATACTCCAGTACAGTACGTAGAATGAGTTATGTGTCTAGTTCGTTATATTATCTAGATACAACTCAAATCTAACGCTGGAGTTACTAATATAACAATATCTATACTATAGCTAGTACTTACTCTATCTATACATAATTAATATCGAATTAATGACATAATTACCAAGGTCTATGTGATTGAAAAATAATCATTATAAATATATGAGAATAATACAGATTTTATTTCTTATATATTATAGTCTATATTCTAAACTTATAATCTAACTAGTGTTTGTAATACTTCGTTCATATAGATGAGAGAATAAGATATAGTGAGTAATAAAAATGAGAATAAAACAATATCAAGTTATTATTAATAACAAAGATAAGAAATAATAAAAGTCCATGAAAAAAATAATGTATATTAATATAAAAGAAATGTGATAAGCTTTCCTTGTATCATCTTATCAAATATTATTATTCACAAAAAGTGTAGAGTCTATGTTTTCCTTTTTTTATAATAATACAGTATTTAACTATTTAGGACCTCTTCATCCTTCTTTGTGGACGGGACGCTAAGTAACCCCATGTGATATCATAACAGGATATGTATCAGTTTGCTTTCATCCACACGTTGTAATTGTACTTTGACGTCATTGAGGATAATCAACTAGGTAACTTGTATATAGAAGAGTTGGTCCAAAGGGTATAAGGTAATAATTTTACTAACTGGCCCGACTTTTGTATGTATTAAAAAGCGTTCCTGTTATGAGATGATATAGACAGAGTAATAGGGACGTTATATCTTATTTTTTAAAAAGGAAATTTGTTGTTTTTATAATTGAAACTTTTAAGGTATATCGTCATTATATAAATCTATCTAGTGTGTGGCATTATAATAGTTAAATTCAATATGTGAGATTTTAATAAATGATACCTAGTGGAAGTATAATCTTCTATTCTCACGTGCATTCTTATGGGATATGCATAATTATCTATCTATCTATCTATCTATTCTAGTTAGTATATGATCTATAAGCTAATACTGAGGAATAAGGTGCATATCTAGTGAAATAACTGTATAATCTAATGACATATTCACAAAGAGATAAAGAAAGAAAGAAAGAGGCAAAAACAGAAATCAAAAAACCTTGTCATATTGAATTACACAAATACTCAGTGTATGTACAACGATAAACTATACATTACTAGTGACAATCATAACACATTAAAGAGTTTCTCTTAGGTCTTTACCATTTTGCCTTACCCTTTCATTATTTATGTTGCACCTTTTCTTGTTATACATCTTCTTTGCTGTAGCTCATTCTTATCTTACTGTCTCACTAAGTGTATATTACTTAAGTTAGTCCAGTACTGCATGATCACAATTTGATGCACCACAGTACTCATATTGTAATGCAATTCTTGTTGTTTAGGAACATCAACATATAGGATTCAAATATTCTTGGAACACTCCTTTGTACCTTATTGAGTTGATGCCCTAGTGAATAAAGTAATGATGAAATAATAACAAATATAAATAAACTATTGACTCTAGAAATATAGATCAGATAGTACTAAAAAGATAATAATTCTCAGTGCTATTTGTTGCGACATATATATACTGAATATCTGTTTTATATATATTTACAAAAGGTGTGCTCAAACATGCGAGTATATATATAATATAAGAAGATTTTAATCTATTCTTAATCGTGTAGATTACTGGTCTCAGTTAGAATATTGACCTCTAAGACTACCAAGGTGGTATATACTAATATTATTCTAGAAGTTTAGGATAAATTAATTTTCCATGTTATTTCAATCTCTGTCAATATACACTCTGTAAAATATAGAAATCTTCATTACTGAAACTCATTATTGCTCATAATTGAACTGATGACTACGTTCTACCTCTCAAGTGATAATTTAACTGTAGACCATTATTTGTGTCTTGTAGTTTTGAGATTAGTAGGCTTGAGACTCAGTTATCAGCTTAAAGTGACTTCTATGTGACTCTAATAACATACTACTGGAGTATAAGTTACCTTGGTATCTGCACTCCAATTAAATTTAATCTCTGCAAGAGAAAAAGGACATGTGACACCTCTCAATGATCATCAAGTCGATACATCTGACACTGTGTTAATCTCGAGAGATGCGTAAACATGCCTCTCCACAGCTTTGTTTGTTATCTTTGACATCTTCAAAATCATGACTTGTATATATCCTATATATTGAATTTGCTGTACATTGTATAGAGATAATTATATAATGCGTCTCACATTTTATATAGTCGACTCACAGCTCCATAATTTTTTAGTTAGATAATTTAATTAAGATACCTATAGCATTGCAATTTACATCTACCAAGCAGTGACGGAAGATTTAATATGCTGTGTTTTTGTGAGTAAAATCTTTAAAGATTATATTTTTACTAAGTACCCATTTAATATATACATCACTTTTATATAAAATTTAATTTCATAACTCTACTCATGATCTACCTATGTGACTTATCATACAATATCTTATGAGCAAAAAAATTCCATTTACTATTAGATTTATTGGAATTTACTATGTGATAAGCTCTATATAATCGCTTCTGACTAGGGTGAGTTCAGAAAATGTGATTGTGTAAATGTGGTGATGTGGTCCAAACAGTGTTAATGGTGTGATTAAATACTCTCCTCAGGATATACTAAATGTTCCAGAATAATATATATAAATTGACAAGTACTACTCAGACTGTGGCATCATCAGCTGTTGTCCAAATATGAATATCTGTCGCAGCATACTGTTAAAGAAATACTGGGTTAGTTGGTCTATATATGCCGGGGTGGCGTTGTCGAGTGACATAATAATTAGAAGCGTTAAGGAGAGCTACATTGATTGGACGAGAAATCCAATTACTCGATAATTAATAACACTACTTCACAAAGGAAACATTGAGACATAAAATGATTGTGAAAAATTGAAATAACATGATCATAATTTAATGATTTTCATTATTTGTTTATATTAATATTTATCATTCTGTCTCTCTTTTTACTATTCTTTCTTGAATCACTTGCATTACTAGCATCTTATCTAAACATTTAGTTATCTTCTATATATACTCATATCGCATTATAATTAGTACTAATCCTGGACTCTTTTTGCTGTGATAACAGAAGGGGTTCTCGAAAATTATGAATGTGGTGTTAGTAAGTATATATATATACGTATATATATATATTATATATGTTATATGTGTATATGTATAGGTGACGATGTTAGCACGTAACAGAGCTACTAGTTCTGAAGTCTGGAAGACAACAAATATCCATATTTTACATTAATCTCTCTCTTACTCTTCTCTCTCTAACTCGCACTCAACTACAAATAACACACACACACATTAATAATACATTATATACATACATACAAATGTTAGTTTCATTATATTAATTTAAATTACTGATCATAACAACGGTTGTATGAATTTATAAAGATAGGAAATGCCGAAAGAGATAATGTTATATCATGTTTCAGATATAGAGTATATATAGAAAACATATAACAAACTGATCACTATAAGTATCAATAATACCATCTTTTCATAATATTCTGTAAGAACAAGATTAGCTATCCATTCATATTAAATCTATTACTCTAAATATAACTCTCTTCGTGTTAAATATCTTAAAGTCGTCGATATATACTGTGTCTGCGTGTAGAACATATTCTAATCTAATCTGCTCAATAATAAAATATTACTATAACCTTAGATATAGTTATATGATTTTTCTTTGAATCACGTATGTATATATACATAGCTATTCAAAATCATAATTGTAATACTTCCTACTCAACACACTACATATAGTACTTACAATGGTCTATCCAGGTTACTGCTTGGTCAACTAATATTCCAATTCAAACCGTGATTATATATACTTCTCGTGTCTGTGTCTGTGAATCTCAATGTGGTAAATTTTCTCTTAATTTCTCAATACTTTGTCATGACACCAGTGGGACTAACTGTTTTAGCGTAGATATAAAATGTGCGAGTGAGTGTATTGTAACAAAAAATTAATGGACCCTATATCTATACCATTTTATTAATGATAGAATTTGCCTTTATGCACTACTTCACTTCTGAACATTCAATTTTTCTTGAGGTATAGTCCTATATTTTTTTTCCCATGAATATATGCTCAAAGTGTACCAGTATACACCAATTATAGAGCATGAATGAGATTGCCAAGAGAGGAATTCTAAATTAAAATAAGTCATATTCGTTTGTATATATCGACAATATTGATATAATGGTAAATTAGACAAATAAAATAAAATAGAATATATTATTATATATATAGAAAACTAATAACATAAATGAAGATATGACAAAATGAGAAGACAGTAAAATAAAAAAGGTAAAAATAAGTAGTAATAAGCGAATAACGATAACGGACAATAAATAAAATTAGTAAAAAGAAAAGAAGGATGAAAAAGATTTACTTATATTTTTATATATTTTCATAAAAAATAAATAAAAAACATAAGAATAAGATCTCATACAGTGATGCGTACCAAACAGCATTTTTTTTTTTATTTGTTTTTTTTTTTTTTTTTTTAACCAAATCTACCGACACTCTCTCAATAGCCAAATGGAAATGTTTTATCCATCAATATCAAGCTTCTACTTCACAACTTACCCCATTCATATATGACTTACTCCTTAGCGTCCTGTAAGTACTTATTTTTGGCAGCTCAAATATATTTACAAATTTCTATAAGACTGTAGTTAAGCACTGTCTGTACATTTTTGGAGTGGTTCATCAATGTCGCTGTCTAGTAGGTACCTGTTAGATTAGAACTATCATCAGCTAGACATTGATACTGATGTAATTGAATTGATGTTTTATCGGTAACATCTGATATCATAGAATAGCGTGAGTGATATATTAGTGAGTGTGCACTCTACTCTCACTGCTCCCTCTCTTTATCTGTTTATATAATGACTAATTGTAAATGTGTATATATTACTATAAATTCTCACTCAAATCTAAAGATAATAATTTCTAACTGATTAATATACAATAATACCATGCTACCAGTTCAATTTTTCTATATAGACGATGAGTAATTTTTCAGAAAATATCATACAATCATTATGAACTAAATAACTACTCGACGACAAAACCTCTGGCTTTGGTGTTATTTCCCACAGGACAGAGAAGGCAAATCTGTCAACATTGCCTCGAAGTGAGCACAGGTTACTACTCAAAAGATCTGAAAAAATACAAATACATGAATAACAATAATAATGTGATGTCAACAGAAGTAGTGCTACACCTTGCTGACCCAGTCTCCTTCCCATATAATTGTCTGCTTCCAGCCCCCTCTAAAATCCCATGTTATCCTCTCCATACGACCAGTTATGCGTGCAGTCCTCACAAAGCACTTCCCTTAAGCTGAAGTTACACAAGCCTTATCTGATCCTGAGATCCACCATTACTGTCATTTTGACCAGGCCTTGGCATACTATTTGGGATACTTTGCAAGCTAGGACTAGGCTGTACTTTGTTCAGATCCTGCTAATTCTTTTGTAAGCAGGGAGGACTTAGGGTCCATGATCATTTTAGTGGTCAATTAACCCACATATGAGACATCCGAAAAAATAAACATTGCTGAGCATCCTGCCAGCAAGACGCAGTATCGGGGCTCGTGCTACGATGCAGCAGCGAGCAAGCAGAGTCCGGGGCAGCCCTGCCCGCCAATTTTGTAGCCACCGCACGGAATCTTTTATTTTCAGCTTCAAAATATACCAGCGTTAATGGGTTAAGTTGTTATAACACCATAAAATAAATGTTTTACAGCCAGCATTAATGCATCAGAAGTGGAAGAATGCCACTGTAATAGAACCAAAATGAGAAGCTGGCTTAGAGTCTGGCTAGTGGAACTTGGGCTAAGTCTGGTGCACTTTTAGTTTAACTGCACTTGCAAATGACCACACGTCTGCAAATGTGTCCTTACCAGAGGGAGAGAACAAATTGCACAAAGTTCAGTTCAGGGGTTGAGGATGATTGCTATCATTACTACTACGAAACAAGATAAAAACTATACAAAGAAAAAATGCACTAAGCTCAAATATACTGTGGCATATACTGGTCTATTCCCGATGGTAAAACAAAT